TATGTGCTCTTTTATACTTTGCTTTTTTCATTTAACAATACTTTCTGGAAATCACTCCCTATCAGTTCATAGAGATCTTTTTCATTATTAAAGCTTACACAGTAATAGTGTATAAAATATATTACAGTTTTCCCCACCAGTCTTCTATGGGTAGGTATCTAGTTAATTTCCAGTTATTTTTTTTAAAGGTTTATTTATGCATACAAGAGCTGGGGTACAGGCTAGAGGTGTGGGGTGTGAGAGGATTCACCAGAGACAGGGTGGAGAACAACAGCCAGACTGACCGAAGTACACTGCTAAGGGGAGCAGCGGGCGAGTCAGGAGAGGTCTGCTGCGCCATGTGGGCTGTTCCCTGACTGGACGGAAATCAAACTCACGCTGCAGTGGCTGAGGATTGCTTCCTAGGTTGCGTCTTAACACTTGTGCCACCATGGAGGCCCTAATATCCAGTTTTTTACAATTGCAAATAATGCTGCACCTTGTGTGTTCATATTTACATGACTGAAAGTGCATCTTCAGGATAAATATCTAGAAGTGACCATGCTGGGTCAAATTGTGCTTATGTGTGTTGTGTGCTTTAGATACTGCCAAATTCCCATCCATGAGGATTGTTCCATTTTGTATTCCCACCAGCCATGTATTTCTTCCCAAGCACTATTCACTTAATTTTGCCAAATAACAACATTAATATATTCTTCCCATATGTCATCACCATTATGTTAAGAAAGATAAGGGGCATTTTAGTAAGGGACATTTTATTTTTTTTACTTTGTTGTTATTTTTTTAATGAAGTACCATTATTTTATATCCTCATTAATTTTTTAACAATATAGGATCTCTCCCCTCAGGTATGGTCACTGTAGCTGTCCCACCACCAGGGGATCTCTCCCCTCAGGTATGGTCACTGTACTGTCCTACCACCAGAACACTCATAGTCCTCTGCGATAGTCCAGTGTGCTTCTCCCCAACTCCCACTCCATCCTATTCTTAGTCCTCCCCTATCCTTCCATGCTTTATGTCGATGGTCAGCTTTCAAAGGTTGGTTTTAATGTTTGTCTTTAACCCTTTGTTTGGGTCTTTATATTACACATGTTAGTGGTACTATGTGGAGTTTATCTTTCTCCGTCTGACTTATTTCACTTAGCATAATCCAATAAGGGACATTTTAATAAAGGACAAAATCAAACTAAGGTATAAGAACAGCTCTTTAAAATTTAATTTGAATAAATATAGATCTTATTTTGCTTATTTTTCTCCTTTTGATGAAGACAAATGCATATCTAATAATAAGAGGGATTTTTTTTTTTTATACCCAATTGTTTGTTTCTACTGGAACACCTTCAGAACATTCCACGTCTCCTCAGATTTTAACATGACTTTACTATGGCCTATGAGTACATGTAAGATCTTAGCCCTCCATCTCTAGCCTCTTTGACTTTGTTCTAACTCTTTGAGTATGCCAGGTTCTCCCCCACAGGACCTTTGTACGTGCTATTCTTCTTGCCAGTATTAAAGATACAGATAAGTTAAAAAACAAAAAGACAAAACAAAAACAAAAACAACTGGTTTCTATCTTGGTTCTACCTTAATGGTGTCTGACCTTGTATGAGTTAGCCTTTTTTTTTTTTTTAAAAAAAGATTTATTTATTTATTTATACAAGCACTGGGTACAGTCAGAAGTGCGGGAGGGCGAGAGAATTCACCGGAGTCAGAGCGGAGAACAGAGCAGGCAGACTGATGAAGTACACTGCTGAGGGAAGCAGCGGGTGGCAGGAGAGATCTGCACGCCATGTGGGACCCTCACCAGGTGGCCGGGGATCAAACTGGCACTGCAGAGGCTGCAAGCAGCTTCACAACCCAGCCCTCAACCTCTGTGCCACCGGGGAGGCCCTACTTAGCCTTTTAATTATTGAGTCCTGTCCTCAATCTGAGGTGAGGAAATTGTATCAGATGACCTCCAGGTTCTTTTCAGTTTTAAAGTGTGAATTTACCAGAAGGCATTTTGATAGGCAGGTAATAGAATTCAACACATTCACCCTTTGACTATTAGCTATAACTTGGCTGTAAATATGTAATGCATATTTACTTCTCACCTTAATATTTACTTAAACTTTAAGGGTTTTCAAAAATTAAGTGATTGGTTTAACTATATGAGTAAAACAGTTTTGAGTTTGAAAACTGGTGGTTAAATTCATGAAATAGTTCTACTTCTGGAGTCCAGAATCTTGGATTTTGTTTTGCCCCTGTGTGATGAAAAGGTAATTCTATCCCCTATTTATGGAGTTATAGGAATAAATCTTTTTCAGAGAGGGAGAAGGTAAAAAAGCTTGGTTGAGAAGTTTGCCAGGAATTAGCTTTACACCCTTACTATCTTTTTTTGTTCCCCTGTTTTGTTGATATTCTTTGTACATTTTTAAAATTGATTATCAGGAAATGGATAGTATACATTAGGTTAAAAAAAGGTAAAGAGATAATATACAAATTTGAGAATTAGTGATTTTAGGGGTATGTTTATGTTGATATCTATAAAATTTTGCTAATTAAAAATTGTCAGTCATTTAAAAAACTGGTCAGTGCTAATGTGTCCATTAGTACTTTAAGTTTGGGATTTATTTCTAAAATGTCACATTATAAATGGATAATTTGATGCCCAGCCCTGATCAAAAGAGCTTAAAAAAAAAAAAAAACAGTTTAATGAAGGATTACCTTAGTGTGGTAAGCACTGTGTATAGAATTTTCTATATCAAAATTCATTCACACCTAAGAGCACCTAAGGGTCACATCTTCCCTCACTTTGAATTCTGGACTGGTTTGACATACAGGAACTAAAAATGTTTGGGTTGTTCGGTGTTGGGAATTCTGTTATGCAATAGTAACTTCATATATTAAAACAGCAGGTACCAGTTCAGGTATCCAAAAATTACAGGACCAAAAAACAATTGCTACAGATTCTTTAACTAGATACCATTCATGAATTAAGTGTTTCTCAGCTGAGGAAATGAAGTTTGCTTTTGTTTTGTTTTTTTATTGTTATATCCCCGACTGAATAACTGATGCCAATATTTGTAATTAAATACCAATATCTGTATTAATACATAAATATATTTTTTAAGCATTTTGAATATAGAAATGTAAAGTCAGTACTTCTTGATAAATGTGTTTTCAGTTTCTTTAAAGACTTCCTATAGGTGTGTTATGTACAATGCATGTATTTTCATACATACTTTTGTTAAACTACACTTGTTTGGTATTTCCTCAGAAAAGATCATTTCTAAGTTCAGAGCCCATCCATTAGATACTGGAAAGCTATCCATACCTCAAAATTTTCTCATCTTTTCTTCCTTTTAAGTAAGAGTAAATTATCCACTATTTTATAAAGATGTTAAAAACAGTGGGTACAGTATTTGGGAGGAAAGATGTGGTACTGTCACTTAAAGATAATAAAAATAAAAATCCTCAGCTTTATTATAGGCTTTCTGGGTAAAGTAGAAAAGAGAAAAGTCTAGAAATATATAATTTATCATAAAGTGTACCACTAATAAATGAAAGTAACTTTATTAACCTTTCTGCCCTTTTAGGTTAGATTTACCCAGGATTTGAATTTTTAGAGGGGAAAACTAGTAATCGTTGAGTTACTTTGTGAAGAATGTTACAAACCTTTTGAATCATTTATCTGTTGAGAGGCAACAACTTCAATGAGCATAGAAATAACAACTGATGATTATTTTGCTTGTATTTTAAGTCTTAGCCATGCATTGAGATATTGCTGACAGATCTTTAAGCCAAGGAAAAAATCTGAGAAATCTGCTACTGATACCCTGCCCCCTACTTCCACATCATGAAGCTATTAGTTACTTTTCAGTTCAGAAGTATGTGTTTAGAGTGCTAAATATATTAGAGTGGCTTGAAATAAAAGTACTTCGAGTAAGTTAAAAGCATGTTTACTTTTTTAGGGACATAAAGGACTACACTTAATTCTTTCACTTCTGGTTTTTTAAGAACTAATTTTGCTTTAAATTTATTTAAAGAAAACCATGACTCCCTGAAAAAAATCTTCTACTGTGATTTTATTGAAATTGAGTTTACTTACCTAGTAAATGACTATGATTTATCTGAAGTCATTGAATCCCAGACCGGGTGAAAGCAAGAATCAAATTTAAATCTCAGAAGTATTTTCCAAAATTATATTCGACACTTGAAAGTGTAGGATGTAAATAAAAATCAGATAGGTTGAATGCTGAATTTATTTTTCAAATAAAAAAACGTTTTTTAGTTAAATTTGGAGAACTGCTTGAATTTGAAAATAAAGACATCTTAGAAAATGACAAGTTTTATTGTAGTTGGTATATCATACCTTAATTATAACTCAGGAGGGATACCATTTTTATGTTTAGTGAAATGAAAATGTAGTCGCAAATTTATTTGATACTGCTGTTTTGCTGCTTTTTTGATGTAAGGAACTATGTTCCTTCCATATACATTATTTTTACAAACAATAGTATCTTGCCTACATGAAATAATATTTCCAGCTATTTAAATATTTGACTTTAAATGGTCAAAAGAAGGAATAGAAAGTGTGTGGGGGAGGGTGTGTATTTCATTTCATAAGTACCTACTATTGTGCTTGCAATCTCTCTGTGGTGTTCTCTGACCTAAAATACTTAAAATTTATTGTGACATAAATATACCTTTAAAAAGTAACTCTAGTAATATTTTAATTTTTGAAAGTTTACTTATCAAAACAACTTTGTTAATGTCCTCCCGCTCAATTTTTGTGGCATTTTTGAAATTGCTGTTCTATCAAATAAATAGATTAAAATATACTGTATTGTATAATTAAATAACATCTGCTTTTTATGAACTACCTACAAAGACAAAATCCTTAATATTATCTATAAGTATAACTTCTCAGGTTCCTCATTGTTAATATGTTACTATTCTGTAGTCTACTACATTTAACTTTAAAGAGTTTGAAAAACACATTGATTCTTTTCAAATTATTCTTTCTCACTTGTTATTATAGTTTAATGAGATGGTTAGTAATTTCCATTCAAATTGAAATATATCAGATGTTGAGTCAAAATATTAAATATTTAAAGGAAACTTTTAATATTTGTAAATCATTTAGTATAAAATTATTGAAAAATTCAGACAGTCCAGATGGTCACCACATGATTTAAATCATAGTCATTTTTAGATTTGAACAACTTTTTAAAGGGTTTTTAATAAGAGAAAGGTACAAATCAAAATGGCTCGTAAAAATAGGACGAAATGCATACAAGAATAGAATACATTTTAATGCTTAATACATTGAATACAATTTTTTTACACTAAAATTTTAAAATGTCCACTTGTTTATTTTCTTTCAAAGGTGTAGAAATAGTTGTCCAAGAAAAAACAATTTCACAGTTGAAGGAACTTGGAGGTTCTGTCCCAATGGTTTTGTTTAGTCAGCTTATATTGTAGATTCGTTGTCAAATATCTTATTTTTTAAGGTCTGTAAGCTGTGTTGAATAAAGCTCTCTGTGCCTTGAACTTCAGAAAATCTGGAGTCACTTCTCCTAGTAGACCAGTTTTTCATTTTTATTGAATTCTGAATCGTTTCAGAGGTGAAATAGTAAACTATTGGGTCAAAGCAACAGTTTAAAACAGCGATGCAGAGAGTGATTGGATACATGGTCCGTACTGCTTTGGCCGCTGAGCAGTTAACAAATGTCTGTGTTCTCATAAGAGAATATAAAATAAGGTTGATATTGTAAGGCACGAAACAGAAACAGAATATGACCAAATGTACAAAAATCATTCTTAAAATTTTAGTTTTGTTTATTTTGCTTCTACTCAATGTAACAGGCTTACTTAAAGTTCTTAGCACCATAGTAGAACAAGTTACGTTTAAAATTAAAGGAATAAAAAATCCCACTATTTCTATGAAAATTACAATCCGTGAGAGATAAGTTTTCCAAGTGTGTTCAGGGAAATTTTCAAAGCAGGTATTTAAGGTTTTGTTAGCATCCTGAGGGTGGGTAGATTGGAAAAAAACTGCTGGTGCACTTCCTCCGACCACAGTAAACCACACTGCAATGCAAACAATTTTTGCATTGCGTTTGGTTCTTAGAGTCTTTGACTTAAATGGGTAGACGATTGCCAGAAATCTGTCCACACTAATACAGGTTAAGAACAGAATGCTTCCATACATGTTAGTATAAAACAGCATTACTGAAATTTTACAAAGTTCATCTCCAAATGGCCAGTGTCGTGTTGCAAAGTAAAAAATCCTGAAGGGCAAAGTAAAAACGAAAAGCAAGTCTGACATTGCCAAATTAATCATGTACGTTGTAGTTTCGTTTCTCACTTTGAGGGTACATGTGAAAATATATATAGCAACACAGTTGGATATTAATCCAAGCACAAACACCATGCTAAATGTGCACCCATACAAAGTGTACTTAAAGGAGTCATCAAAGCAGTGGGAGCTGTTATTGCTTACCATTATAAAGACAGCCAGTTTACTGTGTTGAAGTCCTTTGGTCAGCTGCAGTCTCCTTTGGTATTCTCAGATTGTGAAAACTATAACTTCCAATGTAATTGCAGATTCTTTGGCTCTTTGCGTGCTTTTGTAAAATAGCTCCTTATTCTCCAGAATCTCCAAAAGAAACATGAAATTTGTTGCTGAAGTTTCCACTTGGTCCTTCAAAAGGAAAATACTATCATTTTCTTGTCTCCACAAAATCCATGTATCCAGGACTTAGTTAACTGAAGAGCGGTCTCTTAAAAATGTAGTTAATGAAGCCAATCCATTGAATTTTAAATTTAAAGAAAAGCTTAGTTCTGAAATGATTATAAAACTATTTGTCAGGTATACTAGTATTTCAGTAGTCAAAATTAATACTCCAAAATTAAATTTTCTTTATATTCCAGAATATTTAAATTAAAGTTTAGCAATCTTCTTTTGCTTTTCATCGCAGAGTTTCAGAGATTTAAACATTCCCAATTTGTTTGCATTTCTTCTTACCTCTTTTAAATGCAGCTTTCCTTTTTGGTATTCTTGTGGTGGATCCCAGAAGGTGGTAAGTAGGAGTCTTAAAGGTTCAGAAATAAATTCCTAAGCATGTTAGCTCTTGCTGAATCAAGGCTTTTTTCCTCCGTAGCTAGCTGTATAGTGAGATGGGTTTCTCAGAAAGGCTTGCTGGATTTGTAGTATGACATCACAGGAAGAAGAGGTTGGGCTTGGACAAAGAAAGGTTTCAGCCTGGTTTGTTTGCAGTTGCTTTAATCTGATAATGTGTCTTTGGCGAATATACCTAGGAGGTTTGCAAATAGTCACTGACTTTAGCAATGCCCTCTGCCCATTAACTCTTTTTATGTGGAAATGCTTTCTGGGATTTTGGCCACCTCACCGAGAGTTTTCTTTCTTTTATCTTCTCCCCTCCCCACCCCCCCTCCGCCTTCTCTTCCGTCCCTTTTCCTTTCCTCTTCTCCCTTCTTTTTTTTCTTCTTCTTTTTGATAATAATAATTAAGAGAGGGGAAAAAATGAGTAATAAGCCTGTTTCTATTTGATTGCCTATGTGTTGGGATAGCACTTTATTTTTTTAAACCTTATTCAAGTTGCTTTTATTAGGATTTAGGATTAATAGTGGGGATTTTAGGGATGAAAGGTGCCAAGAAAGTAGGCCCCTGTACTTCCAGTGTTTATTAAAGAGACTTCATTAAAAAATGGACTCACAGGAAATAAAAGATTATAAAAATAAATAATTACTGAATAATCAATGGTAGCAAATGACATCTAAAAGAAATTTATCTCAGTTTGTTCTGGTTCTGTTTTGCATCAGAATATAAATTTTGGTAAAATGAAAATTATTTATATAGGTTTAGGTGACCAAAACTACTGGATAAGGAACCAAGAGAACACAAAGGAATGGATTTATTTTATTAATTTTTTGGTACAAGTTCTAAAAAACAATTTGGAGGGGATATGACTTTTTCTAAGAAAAAAATTTGAGTGTATTTATAAAATGAAATTGATAGTTATATCTAAATGGTAGTGTTAGACATCCTTTTCCCCCTAACAGTAGCATTTTCAAAAGCCATTTGATGACTGAAGAGTGAATTTTAATCTTTTGATTAGGCAAAAGACCAGAGTGCTAAAACTCATAATTGTAACTCAAGGTTTAATTTAATCAGTATGACTGTGGGTGGCACAAAACAATTTTCTAACATTTTTCCCTGTTTCCTATAAAATTGAATTAATATTTTGGAGCACTTCTGATTTTAAATTACCACCTTCATCAAAGAAAGGATTCAAGAATATTTTTTGCTTGGTATGGTATCAATCATCTAACATATACACAGAACAAAAATAGGCTTTTTAAATGAAATTTTTATACCTAGGTTGATTGAAATAAGTTTTGAGAATAGCAGTTATAAAACTTGACTGAATTTTAAGTTATAATTTTATTTTTATTCCCCCAGCCCATCTCATACTACCTCCTACCATGACATTAACTTTATAATAGAATGTAGTTGATTTTTGTCTTCATTTATATTTTTTATGTATATATAATACTCATTTTTAAAAGCCCAAATTGAAAGAAGAAAGTATGTGTTGGAGGGGATAATTGAATGTAGATATTATTTTCTCAAGGATTGAAGATACAACATCTGGACACACATTTTTCTTACTTTAAATTACTGTTTTCAGAAAAGGCTAGATCCAGTTGTGTTTTATTGTTATTATTTTCTAATTTGGTTTAATTTGGACTAAAACTCTTCATTATCAGCTAAGTAAATTTGGGGATTTTAAGAGTAATTATTTATCTTTCATAAATTACTTATCTAATTTAAAGTAATAACATGTTTTATACTGATTTTACACCTTTTTAACTTGAGTTACTCATTAGTGTTCAGAAACCTTTGTTTCTCAATGAATCTCTCCTGAAATATAATCTATTTTTATTGCTTAGACTAGGAAATTTATAATCAACTGATACAAAAAAACAAGTACTATAATTAGCGTAAAATTTCACAGGACTGAATTTCTTTGTATTAGATTTGTATAGAAAAAAGGTACTGTCTTTGTGTTCATATTAGAAGACAAGTGAGTAGAATGAAAAATGAGTAAGGGAAAACTGAGTAGTAATAGAGAAAATTTTTGTTATAGTTTCTTAGTAATCTACTTCTAAATGGATAATCTCCACTTTAATCATCATTAAATAATGAAATAGAAGCAGTTTTATATCCTGACCTCACCAACTTCTACTTTCACTTTCAATGACATTTCCCCCCCAAATTAATTCTAATTTGGAGTATTTTTCCGTATATTGATATATTTATTCACTTGATTTGTATTCACTTAACTGTTGATTTATAGTTTTTTCTTGTTTGAATTAATGGTGTTTACAAATGGATAGGTCACTATTTGTTGAACTAAACTTTGTTATTATCACCATCTTAGTGTATGCTTATATTTCTGGTTCTTTCCCAATGATTGCCTCTTAGTAGATACTCACATATTTGCTTATGAGCCAATCAGATCAGTAAACTTGAATTTTGTTGAAAGTTGTTTCTACTGAGAAAGAACAGTAGCAAAACAACTGTCTGTTTCAGGGAAAATGAGCACTAAATGCTGGATGTTTCAAGATATTTAACTTCTAAAAATTAAAGAACCAAAGTGAAATCAGATACCTTAAAAATTTGTTAGGAAGATTTGAAAAGGACAGAGTTACTACATATAAGAGAAATTAAATGAATCCAGGAGATTGAATATATTTAATAGATGCTATTGTATTTGATAAACTGAAGTAATCTAGACTTTTAGTTGCTAGCACAAATTCATTATACATGAAGGTAAAGAATCATGTAGGTAGGCAATAAAATGTAAATCTATAAATTTTTTATCTGGGAGCTGTGAACATGTTGATGGGCAAATCACCTGCCCTTTCTAAGATCCTGACTCATGGATATAAAATGAGGGTGTTGGACTGCTCAAAAGTCCTTTCTTGCTCTATATCTGATTCTGATTCTTTGAGTACTTTGAATATTTAAGCTGCTAGAATTTTTTTTTTATTCTTATGTATGACAAAACAAGGAGTTCCTTGTCATTCTTCATATTTAAGGATTTCTAATTTTGAAAGCAGATTGTACAAGAAATATTCTTTGCTAGAGCCAAGTCTTCATAAGAATTTTGTTAATATTTGGCTATACTATAAAAATTAAACATTGAAAGGTGTTTCTTTTATTTCACAGCATTTTTTAAAAGAACTTTCCAAAACCCAAATAAGATGCCATATTCTTTTACTATAAAGGTGATCAAAGAGGAACTGATTAAAACTTTATAGTGTTCCTCATTTAAAAGATTTGATGGGAAAAAAAAAGAAAAAAAAGAAAATTTGATGGCTATAATTGGAATTATACAAAAATAAGGTTGAAAATATGAGATATGCAACAATGTATACGAAAGTATGTAAATGTATACAAAAGTATGTAAAACAAACTGAAGTAAGTTTGTTATACTGCAAAAGAAAGTGTGAAATAGTAAAAATTTTAAATGTCAGAAAAATGTTCTAAATTTATTTTAGTCATTTTGAGTGCTGCAAATGTTTGTCATTGAGGTAACTCTTCAGGATTCTTTTTTATTTAAAATTTACATGTATAAGAAAAGCTGTTTTTCATTTTAGATTTTTCTGAAACCTATTATATTTTTCCCCCAAACAAAACTTTCAGCTTGAAAAATAAGTATTTGTAGTTTATCTTGATATACATATCTTATATGAAAAGATCTTTTAGGATAACAGGAAGATTTATTAAATTTCAAAAAATATAGGTATATTGATATCATTGAAATTGATATACCTTTATTTCATAATTGCCAACATTTAATATTTGTTGTTACTCTTTATTGGAGCATAAGTCATCTACCCAGTTCCAAGAGTTGAACCAGTTTGTAGGGTTAAGTGAGAGTAGAAGAAGAAAGATTTTAAAGGGAAGGGTGATGAATGTTGATTTATAGCAAAGTGAAAGTGGATGGGAATGATGCAAGTTCAAGCAAAAGGGTTAAAGGAAATTAAGTGAAGCAGGGTTGTTCTTGTATAAGACCTTGAGTAGGCATATTTATCACTCCCAGCATGTGAGTTATCCCTCCTTCCCTTTTCTTGTCTTTACCTAAAATCTTTACTTAAAAGATTTTAATAATGTAATATTTTGGTGTGGCCATCTCCCAGTTTCCTCATTCCTTTTCTGTATTCCTTTCATACTACTTAAGTTGTGCTTCTTTGGAGACATAAAATTTAATTAAGATTAAAAGCCAAAGAAATAACTGCAGTAGAGAATAATAATTGAAATTTGTACAGAGTGTAGATGAGAGTCAACCAAGTCAGTTAAAGGGCCTCCAGGGGAGATATCTTAGGATGGCCCTTTTTTTATTTTTAATTTTTATGTTACAGGTGTACATCATTATAAATCAGCATGTCTACACTACATTAAATTCACCACTACTTTCCAGTTCTATCCTGCACTATACAGTTGACCTCTTTTAATCAATTAGTCCTCCACCCTGTTCCCTCTTCCTTTCTAATAACCAGTAATTTGATGTTAAATTTTGAAAGTTTCTTTTTATTAATTTTACTTGTTTGTTTCATTTCTCTGTATACCACATATGAATGAAATGATATGATGTTTGTCTTTCTCTAACATTTCACTAAGTGCTAGACCTTCTACATCTGTTCAGATTGTTACAAATGGCAGGATTTCATCTTTTTTTAATAGATGAGTAGGATTCCTTCCATCGTGTATATATAACACAATTTATTTATCTAGTCATTTGTTAATAGGTTGTATCCTGATCTTGGCTGTTGTATATAATGCTTCAGTGAACATGGTGGTGTATGTTTTTTCATTTTGCACATAGTTTATTTTGTTATACAGAAGCTTTTTAGTTTGCTATACTCCCATTTCTTTAATTTTTTTTTTTTTGTTTCCTTTGGAGTTAAATCCCAAAAGACACCTTGAAGGTCGATGTCAAAGAGCATATTGCTTGTTTTCTTCCATGTATTTTATAGTTTCATGCAAGTCTTTAATCCATTTTGAATTAATTTTTGTAGTGTGAGATGGTGGACTGGTTTCATTCTTTTCCATGTAACTCTCAGGTTTTCCTAGCACCATTTATTAAAGAATTTTCCTTGCTCCAGGCCACCATTAAAGTTGAATAAAAGTTTCAGATTTCAAGTTTTGAAAAGGGTAGAGCCATGCCTTAAAATGCTGTCTTGGTATGCTAACATTACTTTTTTAAACCAAAACTCAGAAACTGTTTGGGTGACTATTTTCTTAATTCTGTTAAGGATGCTACTTAAGTAAATAAACTCTAA